TGCATGGGAGGTGAAGGCACAGAGTCAGAAATGGTTTTCTGCCATGTGTATTTAGACTCGACAGTCTGCTGCATCCCAAGGGCAGCAATGTTCATGGGCCAGTGGGCTTGGCAATCTGCAGATGGAGCAAGTCTTTTGAAGTCTCATGAAAAGTTGTGAGGATAGAAGAAAATGAAGAACACACAGCAGATGCTGTCCTCCACATGTCATTTTGTTCCTTTCTTTTGATCCATCTTCTCTTCTTTCTCCTCTTCTAGACATATCCAGGTTCAGGCATTTCAATGTCTGAAAACAGATACGCTGCAGTAATACAACCAGTTCCCAGGTGCTATAAGCTGTGCTGGCTAGTGTCCTAAAAATTGCAATAAAGATGCACAAAAGCAAAATTTTCAGCAGGCTTTTTCAATGAAGACAAGAAAAATACATCAAAAGCAAGTGTTCCTTGCTAAAACCAAAATTTTTGCAGCTTTACATTTTAGAAACACTCAGACCTCTGTTCTCCATCCCAACTTAATGGCCATAGGGAATTTAAAAATGTTTTCTCCAACCCATCCCAAAGTAAATTAATAAATAAATAAGAAAATACATAAAATAATAATCTAACAAGCCACAGATGCTTAAACTTGCTTCTGCTGCAATTCAAAGTCTTTGTGCTGTAGAGTGTTTTAAAGCTTTGCATCGTTACTCCATTTCTCAGTGGCTGTTCTTGTGATAGGGCTAGGCAAGTACTTTTCTCATTAGGCCCTCTCTCTCAATTCTCCGCTCTTTTATACAAAAGAACTTTAATGACTGTGCCTGGATAGCTCTTCTTTATCCGACTGAACATCAGACTTCACAGAATGGTTTATGCTTTTATTAAGTTGCTTTACAGCTTCTTCACTAAGTCACTTCTCACTGGGCCTAACAAAACAAATCAAATGTGGAACTTCTAAGCCAAGTCAGCATTGCTTTTCCTCTCAGTAGTCAAAATTTAAAAATAATGCATCCAGACATTCTAAAAAGAGATTTTAAATATTTATGTATCAAAAAGCAAGTGTTCTGTAGTAATGTGATTCAGAACAGCTAAGAGTTTAAACAATGAGACAATTATACACTATTGTACAACTACTAAAATAGAGAAAGGGACAATAAATAAAGTGTTCAAAACATTTTTTTTGTGATTTAGTATTTTGTACTTAAGCAGATGGTAGTAAAAATCACTTTTTACAGGAGTTACCATTGCAGTTTAGTAAACAGAGCTATATTATCGTTTCAGGAGATTTTGATTTGGGCCTCTTTTCTGACAGCTGAATTATTTTATTTTATTTCATTTTCCATTACATTCAAGAAGTACCATATTCCATCCCTATTAAAGAAGTTGTCCAGATTTTCATTTCTTTTAAGACATCCTCTGTATTTCTTTGTGGCTGTAAAGAAGCATTAAGAAGGCCTGAACTTCAGGTAATGCAACATCACCTCTTTTTACTTTTCATGTCAAACCAAAGGGAGGTAAGAACATGCAAACTCCCAAAATAGAGTTACAGTCCAGTGTTTCTAAAGATTTCTCTCAGCAATTAGTAGAGACTAGTTATTTTCATGGCATGTTGTTCAATAGGCCTTAATTAAAAATCAAGAGTATTTTCTTGTCATGGAAGTACTGAGTGAGGTAGATGTTTGAATATTAACTCAGTAGTAGGCAATATCTCTTGTAAAGCACACTTTCCTAGTGTGTCAGTGCACATAACTCACAGAAGGAGTGAGCTGAAAAGCTGGATGTCTTTCAGAAAGATGCATGGGCAGGCTTTTTGTTGTGGGGGCGACGTTCAGGCAAAATTATCAAATCCAGTGACAGAATGTCTGCTTAGCTCATAAATCTCTAGAGAATTTTCAGGTTTAGCCTGGAGTGATGTTTATATGTATGTCAATGAACTTAAAATCAAAGCCCCTTGCCTGGCCTCCGGGAAAGGAAATGCATCATGAGAATAGGATACCTTCCAACTCTAAGGATTCCTTATAATTTTCAACTGAACACCTCCAGGTTAATACTGTAGCAACAAGACTCTCACAGTGGAATGTATTGAACAGTCCTTTCTTGATTAATGTTGTACTTCTTCAGGAAGGATATAAAGGTCAAGGTTAGAAGGACTAAAGTGATTTACTAGCAGAAATCTGTTAGGTATTTTGAAGGCTGTTATTCAAATGTCTGCTTTATTTCCAAACAAATGACTGAGCTTGGATTGGGAGATTTGGATTCCAAGGCTGCTGGAAAGGGGAGAGCAGCAGATTTGTTACTATTATTAAATAACTGAACAAATAAACTTGTTAAGGGCCTTTCTAGTCTAGATTGCAAATGTCAGGCCCTTATGACTTCCACAGTTGATAAATGTCTTAATGACACATACTATCTACCACTGCCTCTGAGAAGTGTGCCTCTGAGTGCCTCCATGCTATCAAAACAATCAGCATCTGGCTAAGTTTGTTTCTAGTAATGTCTAAAGAAAATTGATTTCCACTCATTATAAAACAATTTACCCCTTAGCTGGGAGCAGATTTCATCAACTCAAAAGTAATGAAATAGTGATGGCAGATTAACAGATTATTTCTAATTTATTCACTTCTAATTTTCTAAAGAAGCAAGTATGAGAAATTATAAAATTATTAAGTTCTTTTTTAAGTGTTTCAAATGCTTTTTAAGAAAGCACTTTGGAATTCTGATCTACCTGTATGATTGAACATCATTGAGAAAGTCAACTTCCACATAATTTTAGTGTAATAAATAATAATAGTGTAATAATAAATAATATTTTAGTCTAATTTATGAAAAAATTGCCTAATCTGCCTCTACATTGTACTTTTTCAAAACAACGTTACCTACTTCTTGTATCTATTTGACTTAAGACTTTGGGTGAAAATTTTAACATGTTTGTCTTTCCTTTTTAACTCAGAAGCAAACTTGAGATGTATCATGTCTAAAATTATTTCAGTTTAAGCAATGCTCTTAAGTAAAGACTCTCTGAGTCTTTGAGAATCTTTGGGCTCTGACCTCCACAAGAGCAATGGCCCATATCTCATCCACTGCAACTTTACATGTTAGAGATTCTCCACAAGAAACTATTTGATGTACTTGTGTAATGCCTTTTGTCTGGATCCTTGGATAGGGCCTCATGAGTTCACATGTAACAGGATGAAACAGAAGGCACTGTATAGGCCTTCTGTATTGAAGCATTCAGAGCTACAAGCTGCATTACAGAGTAACATTATTCCTTCAGAAAATTCTATATTAACATATTTCAAGTGCTGCTTTCCTGCAGATCTCTCCCACAAAAGGCCAGAGATGGCCAAAGAAGAGACCTTAGCTAACTCAGCTGGCACATCAAAATTAAGTTGCTGCTCATGGACACAGCTCCTGCTGGCTTCCCTCATGTTCCCTCAAATATGCCAGACTTAGAAATGGGCCCCGTGGTATTTCTCTAGCACATCCAGCAAAATTTCACAAAGTCATTTTAGCAGAAGTGAGTCAGATTGTTCCCCTTTGGGTAGTTCTGCATAAAAGGACAATCTAGAAGTTATTATCCCCATTTCTAAAATGTAAACTGATATTAAACATGTATTTTGTTCCTACAGTCCAGCTTCACTGACTGAAGAAAAGTTATGAGAAAGCTATGCAGTTTTTTCATCCTTCTTATTTCTGGAAGTTAAACACAGAACAGGTAGAGCAGCTTTACTGATTTTTAGTGACTGTTGGCATTGGAATTGGTTATATTTTGGTCCATTATCTCAATATTTTGTGTTTTATCATCCTGAATAAGTAGTTGGATAGCAATTTAAAAATAGATAGATGTTTGGCATTTGGAAAAAAAAAGTCTGTCATGAAATGATTGAACGAGACTATAATGTCTCTTAAAATAATAAAAAAAACCTCTAAGTCTGCTGAACTGATATGCCTAGCAGCAATGTCATTTCAGTTCTCTCCCTGCTAACTCGTTTATTCATCATCTCTCCTTTTATGCTTAAGAGAAGCACCTTTAAGATCAGAGAATTTAAGTATAAATGGTCTCTAGTCTCATAATTTCGATATTTTCACAGTCAAAACTGAATTTGAAACAACTAGTTCATTAATGCCATGGGGGTTTTTAACTGTACTACCATGTGGATCACTTAAAATTTAATTAAAAAGTGTATCTCTATTTTACTTAAATGGCAAATTTTAAAGTGAATTTTTGAAAGTAACTTTGAGGAAAACTCACTACATTTTGTCAATAAAAATTAGGATCCAGTAAGTCAAGTCAGGCAGCAGCACTGATTTTCAAACAGTTCTACATTAATGACCAAGAGCCCTGCCAAGAACTTAATGATGAATCTTTTAGAATTAAAATGCAAAATAGGATGAGATAAAAAGAAGGTCAAAGAGAACTTGGGTGAGACCTTATCAGGTAAGATTTTTCATTACTCTCCTCTTATGTAATTTTTACTTTGGGTGCAAATGGATTGTAAAAGTTAATGATTTAAGAACAGCAGAATCCCATGATGAAATCTTGCCCATAGTGTTTAAATACAGCTTGGAAGATTAATAACAGGTGATTCATACACTATGTGATGAAAAGTAGATTAATTACTAATTTTCTGATACCTTCTATAAGAATCTATGAATAAAAGTGCAGGACTCTATTGGTTCCATAGAAAAAATGAAGCCATATGTAATTTATACCATTATACTGACTTGATCATTACTAATGAAAAGAAAAAAAAAAATGGTGGTGTCTCACTAGCTTGTAAAATTTCTCAAATACACACTTCTTCTGAAATCTAGAGCTTGAGAATTGTTCAATAAGAACCTGACTTGGACCATTAATAAGCACCATCTGTTAAACAGTCATATAAGATTTTCACATTGAGAAAGATTGTTTCAATGTTAAATTTTATGGATAGGCTTTTTTAAACCAAATAATATTCTCCCTTTTTTTAAGTGTTGTGGCTGGTTGAAATGTGCACATTTTCATACAGAGAGCCAGACAATACCATTTTTTAGCAGTGTTTATTTTTGTAAAAAAAAAAAAAAGAAACCAATGAATTTGAAAGAAAGTCATATCTTTTGATTGCACACTTTTTAAACAAAAATAATACAAGATGAAGAATGAAAAATACAGATTTTATGTTGTTATGTCAAAATAACACCTAAGTTTATGGATGTTCAAAATTAAAATATATATACCTAAATGCTAAAATGTCTATTTTACATTATCTACAAAATGTATGTTCTACTCCAGCCCCAAATCATAGGAAAATACTTTGATACATATGAAAAGCTATAAACATAAGGAAATTTTGGAGGGAAATACACATAAAAGCTCATTAAATAATTACAACAACAAATAAATAGTTTGTTCAGCTTTACTTTTTGATTGCTGCCATGCATATTTTAATTTTTGGTATACTGAGATAAGAGAAAGGTGAGCATGCAAAGCACTTTTTTTTTAGAATTAATCTGAAAGCAGATACATGGTGTTGTAGTTTAAGCTGTTGTCAGAAGATCATAAAACATGATATAAAAGGCAATAGATGTGATAAATGTTCTCAGGAAAACCCACAACAAAGCATCATTTTACAAAATTGACTTCAGTGAATACTCTTGGCAAATTTTCTTTGCTTCCATGGCTGGAGAAATTGTAAAAGTTTATAGTGTGGTTTTGGAAGGCATGTATTATTCCCCATCTTGAGCATTTGGAAAATCACCCAAAAAGTCCATATGCTGAGAATGCCCCTTTTGATTTTGGTCAAAGCAATAAGCACGTAGCATCAACTGAGAACACAGCAATGGCAGACTTGTCTTTAAGCAGTCAGAATGGTAAAGCAAATGGTTACAGGTGAGTTCAATTTTGGCACAAGGAGTGGGAGATGAGAGAGCAGAAAATGTTTGACTTCTAACTTGTACTATGCTTGCTGGATTTACTGGCTCTTTTCCTTTCTTTGTGGTGCTGGATGGGTTTTGCTTGAGAAGTTCCCTCGAAGTTGTGGCTGGATTCATTGTGCTGCCTGGTGTATCGCTTGCACTTGCAGGCTGTGACCACAGTTATTTTGTAGGTTCTTATACTTCCGTCCTGGCACTGGAGCTGGATCCTCTGAGTGCGAGTTTTGTCATTGACACATCTCCACTCCTGTGAGCTCCGCCTGCTCCAGTACTTGGTTCCGTAACCTCCTCCAATCCAGTTGGGCAGCAGTGGCAAAGGGAGGCATTCACCAGCACACACCAGTTCTTTCAGGGGATTAATGCTGGTGCACTGGCCATCTGAGATGTACTTGGTGGATCTCAGTTCTCGACAACCAACTTGAACGCGATCTGCAGAATGCACAGAACAAGAAACACTGAGATTCAGAATGGAGTGATTTCCTTAACCAGTCATTTTCACATTAACCAGGCATGTTTTACAGAAGTTAAAGTAGGCTTTAATCTTTACAGGACATCTCTTCACTGTTGTGTCCCCCAGCACAAGGGCCTCAAGTGCTGATGGTATCTCTGGATAATACCACAGCATAAAAAAATCCTAATGACCTGCACTTCAGCAGTTGTGGTAGAAGAGGCAATTTTATTCCCTATACTTCTTCTCAGGGACATACCTTTTAGAAGAGAAAAAATGCCCCAAGGGAAGAAATGTTTCCTGCTTATTCTCAGTCTAGGGAATCTGCTCTGTGATGTTTACAACAATTATGTTGGATCATTAGCAAGGGGGAAAACAGTGCTTTGGAAACAGTTGAAATGCTTTTAAATTAATTTCAAACAGTGTGTTTCTTCTCGTTCCATTGTTATAGTGGACTGAACTCTCCCATGAACTCTGCGGCTCCGGGCAGACACTGCAGAAGTGGTAACAGCTGAAGTTACCACAGAACGGGGTTCTGCCTGTGAAGTTTGGATGATTAGCAGTAACAATTTCAGAGGGGTCCTTTCGCCCTCAAGAGAACACCATCTTTGTAACTGTAGTAGTCTGTATATTATGTGTAACATAGAGGATCCTGCAAATTCTCTCAGGCAGCTGACGGAGCCAACATGCAGAGCTTCTCATACAGGCATGTTTGTACCCGTCTCTGTGTGCGGCTCTGCACCCTGCAATAAACACAACTGTTTATTTCAGTAATTATACTTTGAAATAAATGCCCACAGCGTGCTTAATTTTAATAAGCAATCTTTACTGTCTGTGCTCTCCCTCTTTCCGAAGGACAATTACGGCACAGATTCTACACACAATGCAATTAACTAACGCTTTTAAAATAGAAGTAATTACTAGAAACATTTCAGAATGAATCATAAAAGGCTTTGAAGGTGCATCTACATATCACAGCTACAGGCTGCTTCTGTTTCTACTTGGATTTTTGGAAGCAAGTTCTGAACGGAGGCACTGCGTTAAGATTGCTTCACCCTGTCCTCTGTGTCTCAGGGTGGGCAGGAAGAGGGGACTGTAAATCTGCAGGCTGATCCCAGGGAATATTGACAGGGCTGCTCTACTGCCTGCTTTGCAGAAAAGATTCAGGCTTGCCTTCCTGCAGCTGCACTCAGGAATGTACCTGGAAGCATCTGGTCACAGATCTGAGTTTGTCTTTCCTTCTGTTTTTCTGTCTTCCCCGGCTCAGCTTTTCACCAGTGACAGCTCAGTGACAATGAATACCAACTGGGCTGTCCCAGTAATCTCATAATGATGAGATGTTTCCTGTGCATTAAAACCCTTTAGCATTCATAAAAGCTGACACACCTGGCTTAGCTGAAAGGTATCGGTGTCACTTGTTGCCTTCACTTTCCAGGGATGACTCTATTTTTATCAAGTTGCTGTGGGTGGGTTGGTGTGTGTGTATGTTTCTCTATCTGGATTTCTTTCATTTTAAGGAGGTGTGCAGGGGAGGGAACAGATAAAGTCAGTAGGTTTCCAGATCCCCACGTATCTGACTTATATACATAAAACTCAGAAGGAAAGGACTGGATATAAAAAAGGCAGGTTAGGGCAGAGATCATAGGTAAATTACGACCTGATTTGTTTACTTTTGCTGGAGGTGTTAAGCGGGTAAGTGCTACGGCAGGAAGTAAAACTAAACAGCGGGAACAAAATTCAGAGTTTTTTATTGCACTTGAAAAGTAGCCCAGACACCTCCCCTGCCCGCAGTGGGAGGTGAGTCAAAAAAGCGAGCGCTCTGGAAATGCCTCTCTGTCCTTTTTCTTTATCTCGCTTCCCTGCCGGATAGATGCCATAGAACCCGGCATTCCTGGATGAACCTCCCTCAGGAAGTAACCTGCCCGAGAGAGCCGGTCCTACAGGACTTCCCAGCACGGGGGTGGGAGGGCGGCTGGCTCGGAGGCCGCCCGGCAAGGCAGATCCCGGCCCGGAACCAGCAGCATCTCCCCGTGGCCCGGCTTCCCCCAGGCGCCCGTTCCCTGGAGCGCCGCGCTCGGGCTGGGGGGCCGGGGCGCTGCCGTGGGATGCGCGGCTCCGGCCGGGGCTCCGCTCCCGCTCCCGGGCCGGGCCAGGCGGGGCTGCCGCCCACGGCTGCGGTGGAAGCGCCGCCGGTGGGATACTCACTGTTACGGTCGGATCCAGTGCTGGTGTAGTGCCTGCCTCCGTTTCTAGCTTGATTCAACGTGCTGTTGCTACTTGGGCTCGCCGCAGCGGGTTTAACAACGTGAGAATAAAGTATCTCTGTGGCATCGTTCTTGAAAGCCAAGTAGCTTCTCGTGAAGATGCAAGCCAGGAAAAAGCCGTAGAAGTGAATGGCAGGGAGAAGCATGGCTGGTTCAGGCTGTCTGACAAAGCTGGATGAAATCTTTTCCTTCTGCTTCTTCTGTGTAACTGAAATTGCTCTTGCAGGTTTCCTTTATATATTCAGAGAGGTTTGGCATTCATTCAGGTGTAAAGTTGTGGATAGCTTCAGAATGAAAACCCACAAAAGGGGTGGGGTCCCTCCATGAGCTGCGAAGACCTTTCACCAATAGGAGAGAAGACTGCAGTAAAGGAGGAGTTAGATGCACTAATTGCAGGATTCCTATTTGGGGCTTTTGAGGGTATCAGAAAACTCTTAGGAACCAGTACACAGCAGCATTCAGGCTGAGACCTAGAGACTGCCAGCTCTGCCCTGCCATTCCCTATGGTCCTGCATGCCTGGCACTGTGGCTGATGTGACTAACACAGTGACAGAATGAATCTCTCCTGTCCAACTTATGCAAAGTTATGTACCCTCTTCTCAAACTGAGATGAGCTCTATAAGGATGCAAAATTTATAGAACTTACTGAAGACTGCTGGTTACACAAATATTATCTGCAATATACCAAAATTATTTTTTAAAAATATTGTGAATAATTTAAAGCTGCCTCTAGATGCTTTAAATTATGCAGCTTTGATCAACAGGGAGTACTGCAAGGGAAATTACTTGGTTTAGGGGAATATTCTCTCCCTGGTGTGCAGAGTTATAAGTCTGTATTTCTGTATCACCACACATAAAAAGTGTCTCCTCTAGGCTCCTTAGTGCAAACGTATCCATATTCATAGCCTCTCACCATGCTCATTCACCAAACTAGTCTTTTTTCATTTTGTACATTGCCTAGAGCATTCTTATATTTTAATGTATTATTTCATGTGATAAAGGAAACAAGAGAAAACATGCAAATCTTTTTTTTTTTTTTCAAAATTTTGGAAGAATAATCCTTACTTCGGCATACTTTTTTGTTGTGGCATGCACTTACTTGATTTTACATAAAATTGCACAGCCCAGATACAAACGCCAGTGTAAACTGAGATATTGCCAGTAGGCCAGTGCTTGTCTGCATCATGGTGAATGCTCTATAGATTTTCAAAATAAATAAAACAACAGTGATCAACACTGAAAACTCTAGCGTTCTAACTAGAAAGGAAACCCTTTTCTTGGGAAAAAGTATAGCCTTGCAGAAGGCCATATTAGACTAAAGATTAGACTGCAATCTCACTTACACTCTCTGTAATTGAGTTGGTATCTAAAGTCACACTGGATTTTATTGCTGCAATAAAATCATAGGTGGAACACAGGTTAGTTACATCTATTGCCAGGATCAAAATCTGTCATTCAGAGAAGACAACTTTGTTTCACCCTAGTCACAAGCAGACACTTGTCTATATCAACAACACTTTCCTCTTGCATCATTAAGAAAGTTATCCTGGATTTCAGCAGGACTAAGGACGCATCCACAGTGAGTGCCAAACTGATAGCTTTTGCTTAAAGGACGCAGGAAAAACAGGAGTGTTGCAAGGTGAAGTGAGTTTTACTGGCAGAGCTGTGTGTGGGGAAGTTGAGTTGATTGCCTGCATCTATTATGACTAGCCCAACCCAGTTCTGGAATAACAAGAATGTTGCAAGGCAGAGTGAGATCTTTCAGCAGGGTAATGTATGGAGGAGTGGGATCACTGCTAACCCCTTACAAAATGCCACGTTCCACTCTCATGGAGAATCTAATCTAACCCCAAAAGCAAAGATGTATATTTTACCTCCCCTTAAAAAAAAAAAAAAAAGAAAAAAATAAAAAAAAATTAAAAAAAAGAAAGAAAAAGTTTTCTTAACCAAATAATCAAAAAAGATATGTACATTGCAGATAATTAATATTTGAGCTTTTTTTTTTTTTCAACATCACTGAACCTTGTAGATGTTGAAGTCCTACTTCATTTTTTTTTTTTAATATTCACAAATCATACAGATCTTTACACATCTCACCTACCCTGCAGGATAGTCTCTGTGCTGAACTGAGCCACTGTAATTAAAAGCATGGAAATGATTTTCCAGTTATCCACAGTACCTGTGTATACCAGTCAGGAGACCTCTTCCTAGTAGAGAGATTTTCCCACATCAGACAAGTCTTTAAAAAGTCAGAGGTTACCTTGAGAGCTGTTTTCTCTGAAATAAGGCATATAATCTTCTCACAGGGAAAATGAATGGGACTTTGGAGTCGTTTTAGGGCTGGGTCTACAAGGAGCCTGCTAGGCCTCAACCTTTCGATGAAAGCTAATGATCATCCTTTCAAATTTAGTCTAGATTTTAAACCATTAGGTTTGTCACGTACATCTCTTGGTCTTGTCACTTAGAGAAGGAAGACCTCATTAAAAAGCCTCTTACAGCCTTTGTAAAGGAAAAGTTTGGCCCTGAATTTGCCACAGGAAAGATAATATAGATTACCTCGTTTTTCTGTGCACTAGACAGAGTAGACCTTGTTTTAATTTTATTTGTGATTTCCATTTGTTACAAATATTGTACAAAAATATTGTGATTTCAGTTTCTTGGTCAGTAGTGTGAGCCTCCCTGCTTTGAAAGGTAAGCAGGCTTCTGAGGAGTTTGTCAGTTTGATTCATATTTTCTTTATCAAACCTAGAGCTTGCAGTCTTTCACTTTTTCTGAGTCTCCCTGGGAGAGATTAGAAGTTGCTTGAAGGAATTCTGATCAGATAAATTTGGTTAATACTTCCTCAATGAACTTCAGAATAAAAAGGTGTTTCTTGTTGTTTAACTCAGAATGAGTTTCCAGACTTAAAATATATTTTGCTATCATTAGTTAAATGTTGTGATAAGTTGTCAAAGGTGAAGGCTCTAAGTTATCCTTGTAGCCTCCAAAATAGACTTATACAGGGTATAGTCTGTTCTCATTCTAGTCAGATTTGATGGCTTGTGTCGAACATTGCTCTGCTTAATCTGTAATATTGGCCATAAGGAATATATTACACAAGGTCTTTGAAGTCTGTACTGGCTTCCTTTTTGCCCCTGGGCATAACTCAGGATGTTCTTATTGATCTATAAAACTCTATGAGCTTTGAGTCCTAGGCAGTAAATTCTCTCTCCTTTATCTTCCATTATGATGCTTAAGATTAGCTGGGGCATACTGACTATACCTGAGTGTCTGGAGAGGTTGAGTGCTCAGTGTGAAGGGTCCAGGAGTCTGGATTTCACTGCTCCCAGGGATACAAGAGAGCTTCATTCTGCTCCTTGGCATGGTGCAAAGGCCCTTGTTTATTCAGATACTTGAAAAGTGACTGTGGGGAAGACACAGGGCAGAAACCCATTAGCCAGATTAATTTGTTTGTACATGTACCCAGGGATAAAGTGCTACGTTTAACTATATGCTTTTTTCAACTTTACTGCTCCTCATATATTAACAGCCTTGCTTCTGAGTGAACCTAAAAAGAGTGGTAAAGCCATCCATCACTCTTCAGAGAGAATGGTATCCAGAGTTATCTGCACCTTAAATCTTGCTTTTTGCATTTTCTGTGATGGAAAAACCACTCTCTCTCAATGGATGTGGAATAATATAAGGCATACGTTCCATAAAGATCCCAAAAGAGAATTCCCTTCTTCATGGTCATTTATAAGTCTGTCAGGATCCCATTCTCCATGTTTCTTAGACACTCTAATGATGTCCAAAGGGCAAAGTTTTGTGCAGAGTGCACACACCTGTCTAGCAGCACAAAACAGCCACAGGGAATAGAAGAGTATGCACTGACAAGTACAAATGACTGCCAGAGAGCCTTGCAAACCACATGATCACTGAATGTGCACAAAAAAAAAGGAATCCTCAATTTTTCAAAACACTTAGGCCTGCCCAGTTTTAATAATGACAGAAAAGGACCAGAATTAGAATGAGGGTGTCATGGAAAGAAAGTTCAAAATTTGTGTTTATATTTTTATTGTTAGTTCCAAGAAGAAGACCACTGCACTTTTGACTTGTTTCAAAGCTGGATACTTTGAAAGTAAGCACAGGCTCAGATAAATGATTGCAAAAAATAAGCTGACATTTATTACTTTTTACCTAAAACAGAAAGGACTGTCAGGATATTTTCTGTTAAGCAATAAGTATATTAGTAATGTACTTCAAAGCTGCCTAAAATGTGATTTGGAGCTTGATAAGAGAACTTGTCTGAAAGTGAGGTAAAATTGTAATAAATGCAACTGCTGAGAACTTGTAAGCTGTTGTGCAACAAGTTAGCATAGTTTTAAAGCTCATACAGAAAACATGCTAGAGAACCAAGATACCCTCCCATGCTGCCAATTGTTGGTTTTTGAAATTTGCAAATTCCAAAACCAATCGTTGGTTTTTGAAATTTTGAAAATTCCAAAACCAACGATTTTTTGAATACTGAGGTTTTTCTATACTGACACTTTTTAATTTTCTCAATAAATTACACTTGAAAGATTCTATGGAAAACATAACATATATTCTCATTAATAAGAATTACTAATTAGTTCTGATTTATGTCTTCTTCATCTCCCTAAATGCCATATTACAATTTTATTTTTTTCTGCTTACTCTTATGCATAATGTAGACAAAATAATTTAGGTCAGGCTGCAGCTTCAAAGAAGGCAAATTATACTTTTATCAAAAAAGACATTACATAGTTCAAAAAGGGGGGATTTTTTTTTTTTTTTTAAATTCTAGGAAAATTTACAGTAGAGTGAAGAACGCTTCTTGGACATTTGCAGTAAGATTTTAAGACAAGTTTGAAGACAATGTGGCTTATCATCAAAAACATATTTTATGATTTCTGCATGTGTTGAAGAAGAAAAAGTATCAAAACATTTTACAAATGAAAAAAAGAATGAGAATAACAGCCTGTCCACTGGTGATAACATTTTTGGAAACTCTTAGATGACACTGAAATGTAACACTTCTCTTTTAAAGAAATTTAGAACAGGAAAGGTGGATTTTTTTTTTTTTTCCCCTACACATAGACACTGAAGTGAACTGGACTGTGGTATCTACATATTTTTGTAAAGTGTTGCCCTAAGGAGTGAAAGTCCTATTGATTTTCAGTGAGCCAGTTACTTAAATGCTTTTGAAAATTTTACCCTCAGGTTAAAATTCTGAAACTCCTACTCAATGTTGGACAGGCAAAGTCCCATCAGCATGCCCCAGTTGCAAATAAAACAGAAACTCAGTAAAGGTTTTGAAGTCTGACTTGTTTCTTTATGTGTAATTAACTGAACTCTTAATATATCACTATGTTTCAGTAAACTGCTTTGTGTTTCTAATTA